ATCTGAAACGTGCAGCGATTTATTTTCCAAAGCTACTCATATAATGCAGAAACACTCAAGCAAGCAAAACACGTGCAACGCATTCACATATTTGTACTGGTGCAGAATGAGTACAGTACAGCCTAGCACATTTCACTCAGGCTATTAGTTTCACTTTCGCCAGAAAGTCGTGTATGCTTAACAGTGAAAATCAATTACGTTTATAGTGAATGCCCCTATAAATTGTCTTATATTTTCGATTTAGTTTTAATCCAAATAATATGTGCTAAGTGAGCGAACATCAATAAAGATCACACAACAGAAGTGTGCGCTCTCTCTCTCTCTCCCTCCCTCTCTACCATTAAGTAACTTGTGCATTGTTTTACTTACTTCTTTTTGACGTATCCGACCGAACTACAAACTTTCCAGTGATGTCTGTGAGAAAGGTATATTCACTCGACAAGCTCGCGCATCTGCGCTGCCGAGCGCTCAATCCACTCAGCGTGATTTGCTCATCAGCTCGCGCAAATCAGCTATGCAGGCATTAATACTGAATGTTTTATATTCATTGCATGCATATACTTCGTAGACATCTTTAAACTCTAATAAATCCATTCTGCTGTCTGTCGTCGATGTTTCTTTGTCTGAATATGGCACTTAGGCTATCACTGTGTCTGTGTGGTATCGGCGTTGGTATCGGTGCATTTTAACGAGTAGGAGTAGGAGTACAGGAGCTCAGTATCGGGCCCGATACCGATACCAGTATCAGTGCATCCCTAGTTATAATTGCTTTAGAAGCTGAATCTTGAGATATTTGTATGGGGCGTTACATTTCCGACACACGCTTGAGATTTTCAGCCAATCATAATGCACTGGGTCAGCTGGCCAATCAGACCACACTGCGCTTTTCGAAGGAGGGATCAACAATAATGAACAGTACGTGAAAAAAAATTGTTTTTGAGCATTAAAGCATGCTGACATTAAATTGCACCCAATACACAAAATAACGATCTTTATTTAAATAGCATCATATGAGCCCTTTAAACAATTAAGTAAACAAAGTATCATTACCTTAATGCAATGACTAAATAAGAAGTCTCTTCTGCTCACCAAGGCTGCATTATTTGATTAAAAATACAGTAAAAACAGTAAATATATTTCACATATATTTTCACATATTGTAGTATAAATATTAAAATTTTAAATTACAGTTTGCTATGAGAATAAATTAAAATGAAAATATTGTAAAATGTAATTTATTTCTGTGATGGAAAGCTGAATGTGTTTAACACACACACACACACACACACACACACACACAATTTTGGTGGAAATGTGATTAACAGCTGAATGCAAATACTTTTTTTAAAAAAATCATAAAAATTGACTTTATTTTCATGCAAAATAATCGTTTACAGTAAATGTTTTCTTGTTTTTTCTTTAAAATTTTGTAGCGAAACATGACCCTGATGTGTTTTGGTCAGATTCACCCTTTTTAGGGTAAATTATCAATTAATGATCAATAAATGACGGGTGGAAAACTTTTCAAGAATGACAATACAAAAATTGCCTAAAACACCATTAAGGCACAACAATGACACTATTTCCAAGTCTTCTTAAGTAGGGTTATTATTGTGAAATAACTTACTGACCTTAAAGTTTTGAGTGGTGGTCTACATATAATTAATAAAAATACAGAAGGCCTACATATATGTGCATTTAAATATAATGTAAATATGTATTGTACTTTTTTTTTATTAATTCTTTGTATTACAGTAATGAAAGCTAAAACATAAAAAATGTAACGTGAACTGAAATAAAATATTGATATAATATGTATTACTAATATGTAGCTATACCAATACATATTACCATAAATATACAATACATATATACATATTTTTTACGTCATGTGAATTTTTTATTATACTAAATGTAATATTTTTAAATAAAGTATTTGTATTACAGTAATGAAAGCTAAAAATAAAAAAATACTGAAATAAAATTTGAAAAACGTAATGAGCCCAAAACTTTTGAATGGTAGTGCACATATAATTAATTCAAATACACATTTACACATTTATATGTTATTGAAATATTTATTGTACTGAATATCATTTATTTGTAATAAATTGTTGCAGTCACAGCAATGAAAATTAAACTTAAACCAAAACTAAAACCATTTTAAAAAGTATTGCAAATAAAATAAATATTAACTGAAATAAAACAACATATGCATATAATGCATATAAATAACTGCTGCCAAAGCTACATAACTAAAATAACTAAATCTGAAATAACTAAAATTAAATCAACTAAAATTAATGAATAAAATGAACTATCAAACAACAAAATTCACTACTCCAAAATTACTTTAACTAAAACTAAAGTGAAAACAGAAAATATAAAAATAAAATCGAATTCAAAATATTTAGAGAAACTAGAACAGTATCTCAATGATACTAAAACAACACCGTTCTGAAGTCCTGTGATGCTTTGTGTGAGAAACAGACCCAAATAAATTAGGGAATGAATGAAGTAATTTTGTTATCAGTGAGATGTCTGTATGCAGGATAAAGAGGAGCAGTGGATGACCAAGCTGGTTCCTGGCATGAATGACTTTGCGCTGCTACAGCCGCTGCAGTGGAACACGGGCTACAATGTGGAGATCACGGCGCGCAATGTCAAGGGCCTGTCAGAGCCCACCTTCTTCCAGTTCCTTATGCCGCAGAAACCTGACATCACAGGTACACGCGCATCCTTCACCACTCCACATCTGCCCCACAGCTCGCAGACTGGTGATGTTCTGCAGAATTGTGTCAAATTACTACTGAATTCATTTGCTTTTATTATCCAGAGTTTGGCTGCATCCCACTTCGCATATAGTGTACTATACAGGCTCTGTTTCAAACCCTACATAGGGGGCGACCTTTTGATATAATCCTAAGTGAACTGGTACTTCACAAGCTATTTTAGTATTTATTGTTATTTTTAATTAGTTTTTATTTTATATATATTTTTTAGTTTTTGTTTTTTATATGAAAAATAAAATGAAGTATTATATAGTCTTATAATATTTGGCAAAACTTAAATTAAACCTGTTTTAGAACTATCAAGATATTTTACTTATATTTTGTAATTATTATTATTATTATTATTAGAAGTGGTGATCTTCATTATTTTATTACTGTATTTTTTTGTTTTTTAATTTTGATTTTTTTAATTTTTTTATTTTTAGTTATCACCATAATTTGGAAAGTACAGCAAATACTATATAAATACTTTTTAAAATTGTAATATTATATTAATATGTAATTTAATTTGATTAATTTGTAAAGCATTTTCCCCCTTTAAAATAATGAAAATTTTGGGGATATATTTTGTGCTTTTAACGAATTCATTGATTGATTGATTTCTGTATTTATTTATCTATCGATCAACATAGATTGGACAGTACAGCAAACACTGCTATATATATATATATATATATATATATATATATTGCAAGTACATTTTTGTATTAACATTGTAATTTTCCCTATTATGGTAATACAGATTTATTATAGCATTTATATGTGTGTGTGTGTGTGTGTGTGTGTGTGTTTCTGTTTTAATTTTAGTTGAGGTTTTGGCTATTTTGTTGTGTGTTTTGTCATTTTTATTAGTTTTTGTATGCTTTTTTAAATGTTTTTATATTTTTTTACTTATAGTAATTTTAGTCCTTCTAAATAAACTAATGAAAATATGAAATGTTGCCTTGGCAACTAACTGAAATTGTGTATGTGTGTGTTTTATTTTATTTCAATTAATGTAAATACTTTTAAATCTTTCCCTGCCAAACACGGTATTTTCCGTTATTTATTAGATAACGCTTCCCAGCCAAACACAAGTATGGGTTCAATGCTATTACACATCTTCTGAATGATTCCACTATCACCCGATCAAAAACACAGGCTAGGGAGACAAATAATGTGATCATCAACAATAAATAGCATATAAATGTTACAGAGTGAAATGTTGATCCTGGAAGTGGTAAAGTAGAGGCTCCGTTCTTTATTTTGATGTAATGCATGCTCAGATATTCATACAACAAAATATTCTAGAGGCCATAAAATGTTAGTGAAAATGATCATAAATGCTGGCAGGGAAAGAGTTAATAGGTTAAGTTTTAATTAACAATAACACAAATGAATGATTGTAGATACCTGTCATAATGCACCATACAAATAGCAGCAATATTGAGTCTAGCAAGGCAGTCAGCTAATGACATGATGCTCTAATACAGTGTTTCCCAACCTTTCTTTAGTCGCGGCACCCTTTGGAAATTTTAACAAATTTGTGGCACCCTACAAAATTAATTTGAGGCTCCGTTCTTTATTTTGATGTAATGCATGCTCAGATATTCATACAACAAAATATTCTAGAGGCCATAAAATGTTAGTGAAAATGATCAAAAATGCTGGCAGGGAAAGAGTTAATAGGTTAAGTTTTAATTAACAATAACACAAATGAATGATTGTAGATACCTGTCATAATGCACCATACAAATAGCAGCAATATTGAGTCCAGCAAGGCAGTCAGCTAATGACATGATGCTCTAATACAGTGTTTCCCAACCTTTCTTTATGTAATTTTGTTGCAGTGGCACGAGATAGCTTGATTTAAAACTCTGAATTGAATAAAAAAACGACAAGGAGACAGTTAAAAATAAAATAAGAACAAATAAAGAAATTACTAATGATAGCACAAATAAAAAAATAACGATAGGCCTACAAATGAAATAAATTGCTTTTTAGTTTTTCAGGTAGGTCTAACACACAGCAGGGCTATTAAGAGTTTTTTTTTTTTCTTTTACGAATTATCCAAATAATGTTTAATCCTAGAAAGCTATTATTATCAGAGGACACGTGAGCATAACTGTTAGCAGATCAATGAATGAGAGGACAGCGTTACCAGAGTTGCCCATTTACCACACCTTGTTACAGCACAGAAGGGCTATTGCAAACAGAAACAATACTGTACTATATAGATGTTTCCATATCGTGCATCCCTAAAATACACAACACAACTGTGGCCATTGAAAAGTTCACATCTAGTGACATAAAGGAGGCAGAAGTGTGTGTTTTCCCATCAGCAGGAGGTTTCATACTGTAGTTCATAGTATAAGTATGTGAACTTCAGCAGTTTATTAAACAGGGTCATCTCAGATCTCAGACGACAAGAACTTTCCTCATCTATATTCCTGCTTTCCTCATCAGCCCGATACGATAATCTGGGCGACGTTTGAAGGCGTGGAATAAAAATGGCTATGTTAACGTGAAGTCACGGTTGATCAGGGCTGGTTTCAGGTCTCGGGTAGCGTGAGATGAGGCGCCTGCAGCCAATCAGATCAGATCAAATGCACTGCAGCATGGCAGTGTGATTCGCTGATGCCGTTTGAAGAGCAGATCACGCTGACCTGTACTTTACCCACTTATCCGGACAAACTTAATGAAACAGGTGAATCTCATGAAATATGTTTCAGCACAAAATCAATTGAAAGAATGAAGACATTGTATTTTGCAAAACTAAAACGAAGCCCGTTTTAGAACCATCAACTTGTTTTACTGTACTGTTTTTTTTTGTCATTCTTATCAAGTCTACTTTTTTGCTAAACTTATATTTGTCACCATAAATTGGGCAGTACAAAAAATTCTACTATGTGTAAATACTTTACAATTGTATTAACCCTTTATAGGGCACTCATTGAAATACTTGGAAATTCAAAATTTCAAACCTGCAGTGTTTATGGAGGCTATTACAAGGCTTTTGAACTTTTGTGACTTAAAAAAATATATATAATTTTTATGTTGCAAATCAATGTCAGTGAAGTTACCATATATGGTTTCTCTCCAGTCTATGGTAATTCCCCCCCCCCCCCCACCAAAAGTGTATATATTTAAAATATAAGACACATATATAAAATATTAATAATCACAAAAAACTTATATAAACTTCATAGAATATTTATTTAGGAACATTTTTTCTTTTATTTAGGAACATTTCTTCTTTTTCATGTGTCAAAGTTACTTAGGCAACTACTTCATTTAATTTTCTATTTTTCATATTACAGTAATGAGAATTTTGTAGTAAATGGTGATTTTCTATTTATTTATTTTTATTTATTTAGTTTTTTAACTAAAACTATTCAATTGTTTACTCACCGTAAATTTTGAAGCAAATTCTACTATGTGCAGCTATGTTAAAGCTAAATTAATTAAGATACCAATACAAAATTATCAGTTTCTCTGGTTTTACTGTTTATTTCAAATACATTTTAAATAAGCATATTGTCATTTAGAGCATTTATTTGCAGAAATTGACAACTGGTCAAGATAAAAAAAAAATGCAGTGTTTTCAGTCTCAATTAATGCAAAGAAAACAAGTTCATATGCTAAAGTTTTAACTTAGGAAAAGTTCAGTGATCAATATTTGGTGGAATAAAGTGACGTGGTGTGTCATGTAGCCAAGTATGGTGTCCCATACTCGGAATTTGTGCTCTGCATTTAACCCATCCAAGTGCACACACACAGCAGTGAGTAGTGAACACACATACAGAGAGCAGTGGGCAGCCATTTTTTTGCTGCGGTACCTGGGGAGCAGTTGGGGGTTCGTGGGCTTGTGGTACTGAGTGTGAAAGAAAGCACTGGTCATTCACTCCACCTTCAGTCCCTGCCAGTACCGAGACTCAAACCTTTGAGTTACAAGTCCGACTCTCTAACCATTAGGCCACGACTGCCCCCAATAACCACAATTTTCAATCACAGCTTTCATGTGTCTTGGCATGCTCTCCACCAGTCTTTCATATTGCTGTTGGATGATGTTATGCCACTCCTGGCACAAAAATTCAAGCAGCTCAGCTTTGTTTGATGGCTTGTGACCATCCAGCTTCCTCTTGATCACATTCCAGAGGTTTTCAATGGGGTTCAGGTCTGGAGATTGGGCTGGCCATGACAGGGTCTTGATCTGGTGGTCCTCCATCCACACCATGATTGACCTGGCTGTGTGGCATGGAGTTGTCCTGCTGGAAAAAAAACAATCCGCAGGGTTGAGAAATATTTTCAGAGCAGAAGGAAGCAAGTTTTCTTCCAGGACAATCTAGTAAGTTGACTTGATTTATGTACCCTTCACAAAGACAAATGTGCCCGATTCCAGCTTTGCTAAAAAGCACTGATCCTCTACCAAATTTCACAGTGGGTGTGAGACACTGTGGCTTGTAGGCCTCTCCAGGTCTCTGTCTAACCATTAGATGACCAGGTGTTGGGCAAAACTGAAAATTGGACTCATCAGAGAAGATGACCTTACTCCAGTCTTCTACGGTCCAATCCTTATGGTCTTTTGCAAACCTCAGCCTGGCTCTTCTTTGCTTCTCATTGATGAAAGGCTTTTTTCTAGCTTTGCACGACTCCAGCTCTGCCCCAGGAGCCTGTTTCAAACTGTCGAATGAGCTGCCATTTGCCATTCTTTTCGTAGGTCACTTGAAGTCATCCTATGGTTGTTGAGTGATATTCAAATGAGTTGGAGGTCATCCCGGTCAGTGGAGAGTCATTTTCACCCTCAGTCGTTTTCTCGTTAAATAAGATTTGGTTGAGGTGATAACCTAATCAGTACTTCATTAAGCAGAATGAGGTTTGCCTGTGTTGGAATTCAACAAACACTGGAATAGAATGGCTGCCATACATGTAGAGATGTGGATTTAAGAAAAAAA